ACTGGCTGTGACTGTAGTGGAGGAGCTGTTGTGCAGGAGCTGACCCTATAGAGCAGGATTCTCTAGCAGGGCTCTGGTGCCTGCCTGGTCTGCCCTTTGGGTGTGTCGTATGTGGAGGTAACCTGCTGGTGCTACAGTGTGGTCTGAAGCTGGGCACCAGGCGTGCCAGCCCCAGGGCCTCCTTCCAGGAGGCCCTGCTACAGACCAAGTTCAGCCTCTGGGTGAACCCTGCCTGGAGCCACCTTACATAAGCCAGAAAACAATCCACAGATGTCTTCCACCCATGCTATGCATGTCTGAGAGAGGCTAAGCTGAGAACCAAGGTTGTTGCTTTCATTGAAAAGACACTGGAAGTAGTTTAGGTGTGCCTGCAAGTTGGGTGGGGTGGGGTCTCAGGGAATCACCAGGGAGGGGGAAGGGATGTTAGTTAGGTTGATGGAGACTCAGATACAGCAGTTGCCTGCATCTGCATACTACTGGGAGTGGGGAGGGCTCAACAAAGAAACGTCTTTCACCACATCTGACTGGGAGAAAGCTGTCCCTCTAGCCCTAGCCCTGAATCCAGACAATTCAGTTCCTCCTCATATGTCCCTGATGCCTTTTAAGCTGCTGCCCCAGTGCTGGAGCTCAGAGCAAGTGAGCCGGTCAGTGAGTAAATTCATGTGCAGGCCCTTTAAGAGGAGCACCTGGGACTTCAGCAGCCCTCAGTGTCACTCAGCCACAAACTTTGCTGGTTTTTACAGCCAGAAATTACAAGTTGTGGGAATTTTTTCCCTGGCACTGGGACCCTCAGCTGGGGAGTGTGGTGTGGGACTGGGACCCCTCACGGGGGAGCTCCACAGCTGACATATCCCTCCTGATCTTTAATGGTCACCTGCATGTGTGCAACCAGCCCATTCTGCATCTTCGCCCCTCTTACCAGTTTCTACATGGCTTCTGTGTGTCCTTAGGACTCTGTTCAGCTAGATTTCAGGTGATTATCAATGATGGTTGTTCTGTAATTCAGTTATAATTTTGATGTCATGAGAGGAGGCAAGCACAGTGTTTACTTACACTGCCATCTTGACCAGAAATCTCCACCATTATTTAAAAATTTCATTTGGATCTAAGCATTGCAGGTCTACAATATCTTTCTCCATTTTCCAGACAAGTCCCTATGACGCTATAGTCAGCAAAAGTATTATAGAAGAAAATTGGTGTACAGGGAACATTAGCCCTGAACTTGGGGCTCCTCAGGTCTGTTCCCACTGTGCCAAATAACACAGACATTAAGTTAATTTGGTTTCTTCTTATCTCAGCAAGGGTCTGCTGCTTGTTGTGTGGTTAGTCTTGCACTTGTCCATGCTGCAAAGTCTATTGCTTTTGTATAAACTAATAACAATAGAAAGTGTAATTTTAGAAGATGCTGTCAGTGATAGTTATATAAATTTGTATGTCTTTCAATCAATATAACAAGGTACATAAGAGAAAGTTTTAAAAAATATTGAAAAAGCCAGGTAGACCTATGCTAATGGAGAGAAATACCATATTCATAGTTTAGGAAACAATGTCATAAAGATGTCTTTTCTTCCCCAATTTAATGGTATATTTGGTTCGATTCCTGATTAAATCCCAACAAGATTTTTCTGGGAACTTCACAATTGAAATCTAAAATGCATATGGCAGAGGAAAGGGCTAAGAATAGCAAAGACACTTTCGAATAATAACAGTAAAATGGAACACTTCTTATAGATAGCAACATTTAAAACAGCATGGTACTGAGAGGTAGGGGGAGAAAACATATAGTGATGGAACACAAGAGAAAACCCAGATACAAACCCATATATATGAATTTGGTATAGTGACAGATGGCATTACAAGTCCATGGGAAATTCATGATCAATACAAAACCAAGTTCAATAAATGTCATTAAACAATCAGCCACCTATATAAAAAAAGATTAATCTAGAAACCTACCTGATTCTGGACTTACAAATCAATTCCAAGTAGATAAGAAACTAAAAGTAAAAGAGTATAACACTTGTAGAGAGGAAAATAATAAAAAAAAACACCTTTATGACATACAAAGATGGGGATTCTTAAATAATATATACATACATAAATAACCATAAAAAGAAAAGATTGATAAATTTAAATATATTAAAGTCAAGAACTTGTAACTTTCAAGGAAATGCAAATCAAATCACCATGAGATACCACCTCATGCCCACTAGGATGGCTATAATAAAAAAAATAACAAGTGTTGGTGAGGTGAAGAAATTGGAACACTCATTAACACTGCTGGTGAGAATGCAAAATTGGGCAGTCACTTTGGGAAATAGTCTCGCAGACCCTTAAAAGATTAAACATAGTTACCATATGACCCAGCAGTGCCACTCCTTGGTATATAACCGAGACAAATGAAAGCATGTCCACACAAAAACTTACATACACGTTCACAGTAGCTAAAATGTGGAAACCCAAATGTTCGTTGACTGATGAATGTATAAACAATTTTCATGCAATAGAATATTTTGGGCAATGAAAAGGAAAGGAAAGATGTACTGATATGTGCTATGACATGGATGAACCTTGAAAACAATGCTCAGTGAAAGAAGTCAGTCCCAAAAGATTACGTTACATGATTTCATTTATTCCAGATGCCCAGGACAGGCAAATCTGTAGAGAAAGAAAGTACATTAGTGGTTGTTGAAAGCTGGGGGAAGCAAGCAGTTAGTAGCCACATGGTGTGGGTTTTTTAATGAAATGGTGAAAACTGATTATAGTGATTGTTGCCCAATTCTATACATTGAACTGTATACTTTAAATGGATGAGTTGTACAGTAGGTGAATTAGATTTTGATAGAATTGTTAAATAAAACAAAAACCGTGAAGACCCTTTCATATGGCAAAAGATACCATAAAGCATATTAAAGAAAATCCACAGGCGTGGAGCAGTTATACACATACATAATATGAAATTGGTAAAGGCTCAGTATCCAGAATATGAAGAGAACTCCTAAACATTAATAAGAAGTAGAAGAATATCCTGCTAGTATTGGTCAAAGATTCAGGCAATTCACCCAGGAAGAAATCTGAATGGCTCGTAAAGAAGTTTGATTTCAGGGAGATACAATTAAAAAGAATGGTAGGATGCCATTTCACATCTATCTTGGTCCAAATTTATATGCCTTAGAGTATCCAATGTTGGCACAAATGGTGGGCAATAAAGCGAGCCTCTTCATGGCCGGGGTATGCAAGCTGGTGCAGCTTCTTGGGAGAGCGGTCTGATAACAAAGTCATGTGGGTCTGCCCTGTGGCCTGGTGAGGCTGGAGCTACTGTTGTGCTTGCTATGGTGCCCTTGGTCAGTAGAACGGTGGGAAGAACCTAGCTGGGCTCCAGTCCAAGAAACTCAACTGTAATACAACTGCACAAAGTACACCAGGCAAATTCAGTGGACTAGATCTACACGGATCACAGAGATAAATCACAGGAACAACGTTGAGTGAAAACGGCACAAGGATATGTACAATACTGTTGCTTTCCTCAAGATTTCAAATGCAACACCAGTAATTGTACCTGTTTATATGTACACATGCTAAAAGCATGCTAACCATATCTGGATAATGGTACTTGCCAGTTTAAGACCTGGGGTTACGTCAGGGAAGAGCAGAAAGGCCATTTTTTCCTTCTCCAAGGACTCTTCGTGAGAACAGATGAGTAACCGCTTGGCTTATTGCAAGTGGTTGCTGCTAGTTCTTAGGGGGTGTTGATGCATCTTTTTCTCTCTTACATTGAAAAGCTGGCACAGATATTTCTGAGTTGCTTTTTTAGTTGGTGTAGTCTGCTCATGTGCATAACTGCGCATATGCCAACCACTGTTCTAGGGGTTGGGGCTGGGGCCAGCACTGGGCAACATCTCCGCTGTCACAGAGCTCACAAATGAGGAGTGACAGACAACAAACAAGTAGAGAACCAGTTGTACTCTTGTCTGGCACTAAACCTGGAAGCAACTAAACTGGGAAGCAACCTCTGAGAGGCCAGAGGCTGAGGGTGGTCAGGGAGAGCCTCTGATGAGCTTGGAGTGGAGACCTGCATTTTAAGAAGGAGCAAGAGTGTGGAAGTTGCGGGGGGAAAGTATTCCAGGCAGATGCCTTCCAATAGGACATGTTCAATGACTCCAAGAAGAAAAAAGTATATTTAACAAAAACAAGTGCAAACGTAGGCTTTGAAAACTACAAAACATTGTTAAAATGAATTAAAGAAAATCTAAATAAATGGAAAGATAACCCAAGTTCATGAACTGGAAGATAGTATTGTTAAGATGGCAGTGCTACCCAAGCTATTCCACACATTTAGTGCCATCCTTCTCCAAGTCCCAGCCGACCTCCTGGCAGAAATTGAAAAGCTGATCCTGAACCGTAGCGATGTCTGTGTGTCAGAGCCCAGGAGGATCAGGGGAGTTGACGGAGGTGCATCGTAGAAGTGATGGTGTGTCTAGACCATGAAGTCCTGTGGGCCATGACGGGCACTGTCACTGACCTCACCAGCCCAGTGGGAAGCCTTCGCAGGGAGTGATAACATCCAGTTTCTGCATGCCTCTATGCCTGGTGCTGGGATGGGAATGAGTAGGGCAGTGAACAGATGCTGAATGGATAAAATTCAGCTTCTCAGTGGTAGGAAGTGAGCATCCTCAGTTTATTTCTGTACCTGTTGGCATGTATTTGTGTCATATTACTGACCTATGTAAACATTTCCTTAAGTAACATGGAAGTAGCAAATTTCCTTATGGAATAATTAGAAGATTAACCGAAAGGGAATACATACCTTTCAAGATCTTAACCACTTGGAAATAATGACAGTGGTTTTTCTTGTTAGTCTTTTGAAGATTTATACATATTTCTCAATTTTATTAATAAGTGACCACCTCACCCCCCACTCTGTGAAAGGAAACAAAAGTGCGAAGCATAGGTTTCTTTTGGCAGGTCAGTCCCTGAGTCTTCTGATTCCTTCCTTTCAGGTGGAGCTGATGAGAAGAATGCTCGCCATTAACCCCCTGGATAACCTGAAGCTGTACATCAGCAGCCGGCCCCCCTTGGTGGTCTTTATGATCAGTGTGAGTGCCATGGCCATAGCTTTCCTGACCTTGGGCTATTTCTTCAAAATCAAGGAGATTAAGTCACCGGAAATGGCAGAGGTATAGTATATTCTAAGTTTTCCTCTCTGACTGGGTGGACTTTATAGAGTGGGGGGAAACACCTCTGGGGCCCCCCCCTTTTCTTTGGTTGCCACTTTTCATCTCCCTATGACTCACTTTCTTAGGAAATATCTATAGTCAGGTAGTTATTGATTTAAATGATGCAACCAGCTTCAGTTAGACTGTTTGAGTAATGAAGCAGGTATTTTGGAAAGTATTATTTGTAAAATGTTTGCATCAAGAACAAGCTTCTTTTATATTCATATGAAATCAGCACATTGCAATTTTTAAAAACTAAACACTTGTTATTTTAAAGCCCCATATTATCATGGGGTTTTACCAGCTATACACAGCTTTTTAATTGGATAAGAAGGAATCTTAAAGAAATTAGAAAGCAGGATCTTCCAAATACACAGAGGGTGCCCAAAAAATGTATACACATTTTAAGAAAGGAAAAAACTATTAAAATTGTAAAACTAAATATATACTGATAACAAAAGATGAATATAAGTCACGTTTGACTTCTGCAGTTACAAGAGGTGCATCAGCATTCAGACACTTCTGATTACAGCGAACTACTGCTTGAGAAACGTTGACCAAAGTGTCCACTTGTATACATTTTTTGGCACCCCCAATATTTGTGTTTTTTATCAAGGAAGACTGCAGTTATCTACAAACTTGCATTCTAGATTTTACGTTTTGGTCAATTTAAATTTTTAGGGTGTTACTCTTTAATCCTTAATCTAGGCACATGATGGTATGAACACTCATAATGCAGATTTAAAATTGTTATTTTTGCATCTCAAAACAATGAAAAGTTAATTCTTGTTTAACAGAGGTGTATGACAATATTACCTATTATAAATTTGTTTTACATGTTGGAAGCTATGCTGACCTAAATGATATGATGAATGTGCTGGTGGATGAGGTTTCTTTTAGGACAGATGCGTTCCTGTCTCCGTAGATTAGTGGGGAGCCCTCTCTTCATGAACTTCTCCTGTTCCGTGTGTCTGCTGGTGGGAGTGGGGCAGTGGAGACTGCAGTCGCAGTGGTGCTGCCCTGTGTGCCTTGTGAAGGAGAGAAGAGTTCTCCTGAGTTTAACGGGGATCATGGCTTTGTCTTATGCTTGGTGACATTCTAGATCATAGGTGACCTTGACAAGAGGGACCGCCACCCCACGTGAGCTCAGTAAAACAGTTAAAGTAACAAATGTTAGCTATTTCTACCATGAAACCCTTTCAGAATTTCTTACCAAAAGAATTCTGGCTGGGTTAATTTTCCCTTTTCTGACCCTGCCTGATCTTTAATGGTTGTGCAAATGGGCTGCACCCACATTAGGACTGAAACAAACATTCTTGTCACAACCAAAGCTCTGTAGCACCCCGGCATTTCTTTCCCTCAGAACTTTAGTCCATGCTGAACGCTCGGCCAAGGCCAATGGTTAATTAAGATGTAGCCTGGACAGTTAGTCCTCACATCAGGGTGGGGCCTGCCTTTGGCTTCGGCAGACTAGACTTGGCCTGGGGCCTGCAGGAAGCCATGCCACGGTGCCTGGAGCTGCAAGAGTTTGCTCATGACTGATGAGTGATTCTGTTCTCAAAGGAGGAACCTGGGCATGTGGGGAAGCTTGGGGCTGTGAATCAGAAAACTTATTCCTGGTTCTGCTTTCAACTACGGCACTGGCGAGTCTGTAATTTGCTCTGGGCCTCAGTTTCCTCGTGTCTGGAGTATGAAGGAATGAGACTATTTTTCCAAACCTTATTTTCAGCTCTAATGTTCTCAAATTGTCTGCTGAGGTGATAAATGTTGGGAAACGTTTAATGTGATATGTCCAGTTGCTGTCTTACTAAATTCCGTATCTTATGGACTGATGCTGGAGAGGCAGGTTCACTTGGCTGCTTGGGGGTTGCTCAGATGGCGTTTAATGAATGCTAGTGGAAGTGTAACTGGAAATGTAACTTGCTTTGTCTTCACGTTTGGCGACTTTTTGTAGACGAATGTTGCTTGGGAGAAAGAAGGTATATGTAACAGCCTAGGTTAGGTTTTGTTGTTGCTGTTTCAGAATGAATTCATCTTTGGGTTTCTGCTAAAATTAAAATAAACACTGGTGGATACTTTACTGTGTTTTGTCAGCTTAACCATGACATAATAAGCTACGTGTTTTTAAAGCTGCTTATGATTTAAACCGTCCCTTCAGGGTGTAATATTAAGAGAAGCCTGAAAACATCTTTTCTTCTCCCTTTTGAAATTATTCCTTTTCTGGGGTGGCATCCAATCCATGACGAGGGGAGGAAGTCCCATGAGTATTGGTACTTACTTTCTCCAGCGAGAAAGCAAGGTGTATGGAATTGACCTTTTAAGGAATTATTTTGAGACAGCCTTATTTTAAGAAAGTAATCGCATCTGCTAAATGAGTTTGGATTAATACTTTTAATGTTTTACTACTTTTGTTCAAGCTTTCTTTTCAAGTTTGAGTCTGAGCTTAAGTCATTTTCTATAAGTAAAATATGCTGTTTTGTTATTTTTACGTATTTTCTTGACTAGGTTGGTTTAATCCCACAGTTTATTTAATATCTCACACCAGTGAAAAGTTCATATTTTATATCATGAGTATGAGAGTGGTTGGAAAACCACACTATTATGCTACTGCAAGATGCTGATGGCTGCATTGTCACTTATTTTAAATGACTGACTCTACAGATTGGGGAAGGGGGGTTGTCACTTCGAGGGGTAAAAAGTATAACTATTGCACTGTGTTGTACAGCTGAAACGAATTTAAAAAATATGTATTTCACAATAAAAAATAATAATAGAGGATAAAGGGAAATACTATTTCAAGCTATAAACACTTTTTGTATATGTGTAATGATAATAGACAGCCTTTAATAAGGTTTATTTTCACTTTTTTAGTTGCAACAGAGAGATTATGTATTGCCTCAAACTTCGTAACACTTAGTAAATGATTTTAAGAAAGTCTAAGAAAAATGACTGACTCTAAATGTGGTACACCCACGATAGTGAGATGCCACCTGGAAGGGTCATGGCTGTGTACCTCCAGTAGCACACTTTCAGACTGCTCACACTTGTTTCTCTCTGTTTCATGTTCCTGAAGGATTGGAATACTTTCCTACTGCGGTTTAATGACTTGGACTTGTGTGTGTCAGAGAATGAAACGTTAAAGCACCTCACAAATGACACCACATCTCCAGAAAGCACAATGACCAGCGGGCAGACCAGAGTATCCACCCAGTCCCCACAGGCCCTGGAGGAGTCAGGCCCTGTTAACATCTCAGTCACAATCACCCTGACCCTGGACCCACTCAGACCCTTTGGAGGGTACTCTCGCAACGTTACACATCTGTACTCGACCATCTTAGGGCATCAGATTGGACTTTCAGGTATGTGGGTGTTAGCTATTTTCCTTTCAGACTTTCTCAGGCAGAGTATTTTCAACATATGCTTTTATTCATCAGACTATTTTTATTTTTGCATGTGTCTCCCCTTTTATTGTTGAGTTACAACCAGAGGAAATCAAGAAGGAACGATTTATACTACTACATCTTTGTTTAATAAAGTACTTGGCACACAGTAGTCTTTCAATAAAAAGCCTATAATTATAAGAATGAGAAACTGAAGAAACTATAAGGCCTATTTCTCGTCTTAATATTTATGAGCACACAAACAAATCTATTCAGGTTTATCATGTTGGAGACTGAAATACATACCACGAATATCAGCCATTAGTCCACAAATGTTTGAATGTCCACCATTAGCCCAGCTCTGTGCTAGCTGCTGGAGCGAACTAGAAAAAGCCTAAGACCTGATCTCTTCCCTTTGGTATCTTGGGATTATAGAAGAGACAAGGATAACATGAGCTAGTGTTTATCAAGCACTTATAGTAGTTCTTGGCACAAGGCAAATGCTATATAAGTGCTTGTTAAATAGTAATAAAAATGGACACCTATAAAACACTGAGCACTGCCTTCTGACCAGTACTCCACCCATAACAGACCTAAGTGATTCAGGACAAAGCAGAGAAAGTGGACGCTAGGCTAATCAGGAAAGACTTCACCCTGGAGGCCTGGCCTCAGAAGAATAGTCTTTGGTTCTTTGGTTACCAAGAGTCTTTAAAGTTTTTAAAGAACTTGGGAACACCTGCCAGCGTCCTCCTGGCTGTTACAGGTGAGCGCTGTTTCCATGGAACTAAGGTAAGGGCGATTTCTGGATTTTCGATGTTGTGAGTGGACCCTCTCTTCTGTTGTGGTGTTGGAATACCGTGGTTTTCATTTAAGCTTCATCGCTTACTGGTCCCATGACCTTTCTTAAGTCTGTTATATGTAAAAAGGAGCAGGAACACCTCTTTGGCCGTGTTCATGGGACAGTGGTACATTTTAAGTGAAGTGGTCAACATAAAAGCAGTTTGGAAATGGGAACAGTGCTGTGCAGATGCTAACACAGTGGTGAGAATAACTCTCCTGGCCCCCAGCTTTCCGACAGGGGCACTGGCTGGGCCCTTGCTTGGCATCCCCAGCCCTGGCTAGAAGTGGTTTGTCTCCATTCGCCGTTGTTGGCTTTGCCAGGTGAGCGAGCCTCAGCGTCCAGCTCAGAACCATGTTGTTCTGAAATCTCACAGAGGAAGGAGTCCTGCTTATGTGGGCTCATAACGGATTTCAGGATTCATTCAAATCCCAGAGAATACTGAATATGTGGACTTTGCCTCTCCACCACAGAAACCATTTCTGTTCCATAGGCAGGGAAGCTCATGAGGAGATCAACATCACCTTCACCCTGCCAGCAGCTTGGAGCGCAGACGACTGTGCCCTTCACGGCCACTGCGAGCAGGTGGTATTCACGGCCTGCATGACCCTCACGGCCAGCCCTGGCGTGTTCCCTGTCACCGTGTAAGTGCTTGCCCAGGCTCGGGGGCGTCGGAGAAGCTCCGCTGACCGTGGCTATGCCTGGGCTGCTGCAGCCAGTTCTCAGGGTGGCCTGCATGGCATTCCCTGACCCGGACCTCAGGGATGCTTTAGGTCTGATTTGGAAGTCTGAGGTAGAGCTGCATGTAATAGCAGCGAGGCTGGGGTGCTGCCTGCTCTGAGGCTGCCTCTCCTGCTAGAGAAGGAGCATGTCACAGAGAAGGTCAGGAACGGGCTCCTGGGACCAGAACAAGCTGGAATTAAGGGTCCCGAAAGAGAAAGGTTTCCTTTACCTTCATTATCCAGAGTTGACTTTTAAATTGAGAGCATACATCGAACCTCATTTTCTGTGAAATGGTTATTATTTCTGAAACTTTTGCTTTGTATTTTGTGAGCAGCTGTCAATATTACTGCTTTGCCTTGAAAGGTTTTTTTTTTTTTTGCCTCTCCTTTTTCTGTAAAGGAGATAATGATCTGTAAATACACGAAATACACAAGATGTAGCCTATTTTAAAAATCCCATGGTGAATCCTTTTTCAGTAAGAATAATGATCCTGGTATTTTTCTGTTTTACACATTTAGAGGTTTGTAGGACAAGATAAGTTAAATATTACTTGCTGTTGATTGTAATATCTGATGGGGAAGTTTGTATGGCAGACTTCCTGTTGTGACTAAGAATTTAGACAATTTGAGAAAATGGGCTGAAAGGAGCAGGTTCCTCTGGGGCCACATCATATGTGAGAGGGACAATGGGTTTAATTCTGAAGACCAGTCTTAACACTCAAACTCCTAAATGTTGAATGCTTATTTCTTATTTTGTTACATGTTTGTTAAATTAAAAAGAGATGTCTGAACTAAAAACATAATGGTATTTATCTCAAAGAAATGTATGTTTCTCCTTTCCACACGTGTGGCTGTGGTCACTGTTGGGCCAGGGACTGTGGGGAAGACTGTGTCTCAGGCCACCGCGCGTTTCTCTCCCCTTCCCCTGCAGACAGCCACCACACTGTGTTCCTGACACATACAGCAACGCCACACTCTGGTACAAGATCTTCATGACTGCCCGAGACGCCAACACAAAATACTCTCAAGATTACAACCCTTTCTGGTGTTACAAGGGGGCCATTGGAAAAGTCTATCATGCTTTAAATCCCAAGCTCACAGTTATTGTTCCAGATGTAAGTGAGAAAAAAGTGTGTGTATGTGTGTGTGTGTGTGTGTGTGCGCGCGTGTGCATGTGTGTCTAACTGTCTGTGTGTGTCTGTCTCTGTGTGTCTCCAGAAACTGCTGGACTAGGTCCTCCTGACATGGCGTGGCTTAGCTTGCCTTGCCATCCTAGATTTGCAGCTGAGTTGGGCGATTGGGTGAACTGGTGCCGACTTGGGAAACGCTGCTCGTCCTTTGTTTCTGGTTTGAGCCGCTGTTGTGTGCCTGACCCACAGGGGTTACAGGAGATGCCTGTACAGGCTCATCCCTGCACACAGCCACTCAGGAGGATAGTTGGGGAGTGTCAGTGTGAGCAATAAGCGGTTCGGAATTTGGGAAGGTAGAAGGAATCAGGAAGAACTGGATCTCTGGATGGGTACTGAGCCCTGAATAGGATTTTGCTTTGGTAGGAAAGGGGAGGCAGCCATCATCTAGACTCGTCAATTTAGCTTCCTGCTTATATGTTTATAGACTGCACTGATTTTTTATAAATGCCCTTTTCTTCCTGTCACTATATGTTAGGTGGATTTTTTTTGTGTGTGTGCCTGGTCCTTTTCTCTTATATCTCTTTTTTTGAGATTTTTTTTTTAATTGGGGAATTGGGGTTGGGGAACAGCGTTAGGGAATCAGGGTAGGGGACCAGACAAGTTGCTGTGGTTTTGTTCTTCAGTCTAGTTGTGGAGGACGTCGCTTCACTGTCCCATGTTGGTATGATCATTGTGCTCTTCCTGGGTGAGGCAGTCACTCGCCAGCCATTGGATGACCGCTCACAGCGGCTCATGGCAGCTCACGAAAGCTCACGCCAGCTGCCGGCCAGCCCCCTGCAGCCTACACAGTCGCCGGTGACTCACGGCAGCCCAGCTCCAGGTCAAGCTGTTGTTCACCATCTTAGCTGTAGAGGGCGCTGCGTCACTGGCCCTAATGTTGGATCCAAACTGGGGCCCTGCTGCACAGAGCTGGCATCCCAAGTCAACTCTTAACCAATGTGCCACTCGGCCGGCCCTCCTTATATCTCTTTTTTTTTTTTTTTAGCTGAGCCATCCTGCCACCTGTTGGCAGCTCAGCTTGGGCCAGGCATCGAACTGCTATTGCTCAGAGCTTGTACTCTTGAGCGAGCTCTTAACCAACTGAGCCACTCGGCCTGCCCTTCATATCTCATTTTTATCAGTTTGTAGAAGTTGGTAGGCCAGGAGCCTGCAGTGGAGATCAGGTTGGATGGTGAGCAGAGGCTAGCTTCTAGAAAGCCCTTTGTCCCTTCCCAAGGCACCTAGACTTTGTCTTCAGAGGAGGCAGCCACTGCCTGCGTGGGGCTATGAGGGGGATTTGTAAAGCACCCTTACTTAGCAAGGCTGGTGTACCCGCCAGAAGTATATAAACGAGAGAGCCTGGCAGTGGCAGTGTGGAAAGGAGAAGGAATGGGAGCAGGACCAAGATCTCAGCAGCTAGCAGGGGCCTGGCAGTGAATTGCATGTGGGAGGGCAGACATAGTCAGCCAGGGACTTGCAAATGTGGGGAAGGGCAGAGGAAGGAAGCCTCTCTGGAGAGAAGTGACACCAAGGCCCTCCTGGTGGAAGAGCAGCAAGCGCTTAGGAACACAGGTCGTCAGCCATGCACCCCGAGGGCAGTCAGAGCAGGAGTGGGGGTCAGAGGCTCTGGGTCTCTGGGGCCTCTCGGGAGGAGACTGGGGTGGGGGCGGGGTATTCTGGCAGTGTGGGGTGCAGAAGCCAGGGCGAGGACTGCTCTAGGAAGGGTCTGGTCTCAGGAACACCACCTCCTCACTTAATGACATCCAGGTCTAATAGTTTGGAAGACAAAAGAAGAAACCCGTTCCAGTGCAAGAATGAAAGTTGAGGCAAGTTGTGGGTTGTGTGCCCTGTTTCCAGAAACCCAGCATAAAATCTTTCAGTAACTCAGTGCAGATGTTTCTGGTTTATTCTCTTTATTTAGGATGATCGTTCATTAATAAATTTGCATCTCATGCACACCAGTTACTTCCTCTTCGTGATGGTGATAACAATGTTTTGCTATGCGGTTATCAAGGGCAGACCCAGCAAATTGCGTCAGAGCAGTCCTGAATTTTGTCCTGAGAAGGTGAGCAGCATTTGGCGGTGGTCTGTGTGTGGACTGTCTCAGTTAGTTCGGTTAGTCCTTATTGCCTTCACTGTGGGTGGCAGCTTTCCTCCAGAGAAACGGGTTCTTGTCTTTTTACCAGAAGTAGTCTATCCTCAGCTTAAATTGTGGTGTTGGGTTTTCAACCATATACCCAAGCCTTAGCTGTGAGCGGTACTGACTGGGAATTGCTGCCAACCCCCGGAGAGCAGAGCAGCTGCCCCAGACGGCTGCCTCCCCTCCACTTCTATCTGCTTGAGAAGTTATCTCAGAACACTGATCAGTCAGCGCTTCTGAATAGTTAACTCTTGAGCTCAGCACAGCAGTTCTACTAGATCTTGTAAATCGGCTGCTTCTGGCAGGAGACATACTGGATTTCTCTTCATTCCCTCCTAGGTGGGATTTTGTTCTTGGGGCTTTCATTTCCCTGCCAGACAGATGCATGTGTGGCTCCTGGTCTTGGGGGCACCGGGAGCCATTAGGGGCCGGCGGGGCTGAGCTCCCGGGCTCTGCTGTGTGACCAGATGCTTGTCCTGCTCTCTTCCAGGTGGCTTTGGCTGATGCCTAATCCCACAACTGCCCGTTTTCTGAGAGAGACTGAGCAAGCTGTAATCAACGCCTGCTGACTCCAGCCTGGGCCTGGACACTCTGTGAATACATTATCTTGCAATGTTGGGTTATTCCAGCCAAAGACATTTCAAGTGCCTGTAACTGATTTGTATATATTTATAAAAATCTATTCAGAAATTGGTCCAGTGATGCATGTGCTTCGCCCGGGCTGCATCCCGAACCTGCAGCCTCCTGTGGCGGATGACTCCAACGATTCCTCATCTCCCTGCGTCGCAGAGGGCCGTGCTGTTTACCAAGGTCATGGGCGTCACATTGCTGGGGGGTGAGGTTCACTTTGGGTCAAGACAGTCTGCACCTTTGACATGACAGTGCATTTCCCAAGCCACCAGTTCATGTTGTGGATTTTATGTGTCTGGCTTAATAAGCATAGTAACAACAATAATACCTATTCTCGGTTTTGCTTGCAAGGAAACATACCTATCTTTCTAAGTTTTCTTTGTTTTCCTTTGGAAAAAAATAGTCACATTTTAATAATACTATGGTTAGGACAGACTTTTGCTTTCATCTTGTGTAAAAAGGTAAATATTTAAGAGTCACCTACATGGTCAAAGATCTAAGTTTCATTTTTCACATGGATGGTGAGGAGCCTGGTCTTGTGGAGCTGAGTTGGCACAGAAAGTTCTGTTCTTTCTTCCTCTGTTGTCCCTCCCCTCCATTCTAAAAGTTAAAGCACCTTCCTCACTCACAAGGGCTTAAAAAGTAAGTAAATGTCTCTAGAGTAAAAATTACCCATTTCATTTTCTGGGATGCAAATGACAGTGTGGAAAGAGAATGATGATTTTTGGTCTAAGGGTTACAAAAGGATTTCATGGTTCCTTTGAAGAGGGAGTAGTTTTTCTTTCTTCCTCCCTTACTTTTCTCTTGCATTTATTTCTATGCAGTTAACATGACTTCAGAAGGAAAAGGGTAACTAGTAGATCAGTAACGTTATAAAAACGATGCCTGTGAAATCTGAATTAAAGCAATTCTGATTTGCCGTTTATCAGGGAAACCCAGAGCATCTCTTTCCTGTGACATTTTGATGATCTATTTCCATTACCCCTTTTTCCTTCTGAAACATCTTCATTTTTTAAAAAGTGTGCATTATCTTTTCTAGTCCTTTCTTGTTACTTGTATTCCTACTGTTTTTCTTAATAGCTCTTTGCCTTAAAGCTCATGTCGTTAATGACTTCCGTGGTCTTACAAGCAATGTTATAGCTGAAGGGCAAATGAAGCTTTGGGGACGACTTCAGCACGCCTTTCCTTAGCTTAGCTCCAGGTCTGGGTAGCCTGTTCTAAATGAGAGTCAATCCTGCAGTCTGAAATATAGACCGGCCTAGAACATTTCATCCCAGGCATTCTTGAATGGAAAACAGTTGTGGGCTTTTACTGGAGATTGTTAAAATAACCGCTATAGTAATTTGATGTTAAAATATGTATTTTCCTTTCAGTACATTTCAGGTGCAGTAATCGTGATGTCTGTCTAGTTATGTGTATGCCGTGAGTTGCTTACATGATGCATGGCTAGCCTGTTAATTTAGTTTTCTCTTTGGAGACTTCGAGACTCTTATGAGACAAGATTGAAAAAGCTGCTTGGCTTGGCCTTTAGAAACATCAGTATCACTGAGACCAGCAGACTGTAGGTTAAGCCGCTACTGAATCATGAGTTAAAAAATCCGATGAGTGGAGTTTAGAGAGAGATTTGTAACTGGCAGAGTAAGGAGAAAGGTTGAAAAAGTCACGTTCACTGGTTTGTTTAATCCAGCTTGTTGCTAATAGTAATTACCCTTGTTTTAACTACAAGGAATAGCTGGAACCATAGCCAGGGGAGGACGGATACCGTTAGGCAGGAGGAAAGGGAGTGTCAAAAATGCCTGGCCAGTATGACTTGTCCTAAGGCCAGGACACACACTTTAACACCCAGCGTTTACCCCAGCAGGTCATTCTCAGAGGTGGAAACCCGAGTCAGTCAGGTGTCTGAAGGAAGGCTTGGCAGAGGGGAGGCCGGGGACTGGGCGAAGCCATCTAGTGACAGCAGACACTCCCCTGGGTTTCAGGAAGTACAGCGACCTGCTGCTGTGGGAGCACTACAGACAAGGCCTGGTCCTCTGCAGTGTCATAGACGGGGCGACCCCTCCTAGGAGCACTGGCTCGTCCTCAGGCATCTTGGACTGGTGGTCCAGTAAAAGGTCAGCACCTTACTGTTGAAGTGGTTGTTTCAGATCATATTGATCTCTTTCCTTTTTCCTTTTGTTCTGTCACTGTATCACTTGAATCAGTTGTGATTCTTTGTAAGTTTTTCTCACCATCAGGAATGTGCTGTTTCTGTTGCATCTTCTTTGGCAGTCTGTAGGGAGTCAGGTCCTGGTGTGCAGCCCTGCTGCAGGCACCGTGGGTCATGAGGCCAGTGGGTCCATTTCACCTACCTTGCTGCATGATGGTCAGTAGCTGATCTGTTCGGCATTCACTCCCATGTTAATTTTCAGTGTTTGAAGTATGTGCATATGTGCTTTACAGAATAAAACATCTGAATTTATTTGCTGTGTCTCTTTCCTCCTGTCTGATGGGTGTTTTCTAAGGGAAGAAGATGTGTGATAAGTAATTAGGGTTATTTTGCAAGCTGCCCTTTCACAGTGTTACCTGTTATCAGGTTGAGGGCTGGCCTCACCAAGCACGTGGGTCTTCTCCCTGAGAGCACGAAACCTTTTAGTGTATTAGACCAACAAGTGCTCACGGACCTGACCCACATCCTGCCCAGAAGAGGTAAGTGATACAGACCAGCAGACGCATCTGAGTAGGTATGGGAGTGTGAGGACACCCTTCTCTTATACAAACCCTCCGTGTGCACCTGGCCTGCACTACCAGGAGCGGACTCCTTACTGGCTCTGTCGCCTGACAGCGCCCCCACATGTGCTGGGCTTCCTTTGCCCGACACTATCCTCTACAGTTACTGGTAAAGGGATGTCACATTCACTAATGTGAATTCTTCCCTTTTCCAATGGGCAGAGGCTCTGTAGACCTCCCCTCACTTCCCAGCAGGTGACAGGTTCGTAGAGGTCTGTCTTGGCATTCTGAGGGACAGGACAGTGTTGAGGAGCGGGACACCTCCACAGACCCCTGTTTCTACCTGTGTTCACTTTTTGCTGCCTTCTAAGGGGCCAAACACTATACCGCAGCACTTGCTGCCATCACTGCCCTCTCCTTGTGCTCAGAAGGGTGGCATCTCACCTCTCGCTGTGCAGGAGTCCTGGGGAACAAGAACTCACATCCTCTCTGCACAGTAACCCTGACACACACCAAGTCCTCAGGTAAGGCAGAGGTGGTGCTTGCAAACAGTGTAATTCTCCTGTTGGGCACACTGTACCAGGAGTTCCTCAGACACAGACTAGCGAGTACAGAATAGGGGAGTAATGCACTGGCCGGGGCACACTGGGGTCCAGCCAGATGCATCGTGGTCTTGCTTGCCATCTCGAAGACACTCTTCTTTGCCCACCTGTTAGAGCCCTTTCTCTTCACCTCTGAAGACCCCAGACTCCTTATACCATGCTAGTTGATGATAGGAAAACTAGAGCAGTTTGACTTTGCAAAAATAAGTGACAGGTCAGTGCTATGTCCAAGGGGACAAAAGGGCCTTTGATAGTATTAAGCCCTTTCCTCTGTAAACACTGGCTTGCTCAGTAACATTTTTGGGGCTCCTCAGGTGCCTCCCTGTTCTGAGCTAGGAGCACAGACAAAATGCTTGCCCTTGTGGCATTTCTTCTAGTCGGGGAGATAGCCTATGAACACATTATTCATGATCTGTTGGCAGATAGTGACGAGATGAAGAGGGTTACCAGGACAGAATGATGGTTGTGATGCCTCTGGGCTGCCCGCAGAAGGCATCTTGGAAGAGCTGCGATTTGAAGGCGCACGCAGCAGGGAGTGTCCTGAACCGGACATTCCACATATGGAGGGCTGTGGCCTGGTGCCCAGCTGTAGACAGGCCCGCTTAGTGCCGGCTGGAGGATGGCAGGTCTGCGGGGACTTGTCTCCCCAGCCGAGGAGAAAGCTTCTCCAGCCCACTGCCACATTGGCCCCACAGGTGGCCTGCAGAGGCTGTGCAGGGGACTCACCACCATGTGGTCCAGGAAGGGGGTTCTCAGAACTGAGGCAGCTCAGCCCCTACGAGCCCCATGCCAACCCCTACATGTTGGAATCCTGAGTGGCTTACCCTCTCTATGTCTCAGTTTTCTCATCTGTAAAATAATGCAGTGAGAATTCAGCTAGTTAATACCAAGTGCTTAGAACAGTGTCTGGCACTCTAATGTTTAATTACAATGAAATGGTGAGGGGAGGCATCCAAGAGTGAAGCTACAGGGTCGCGCTGGTTACCTTGTGGTGGATGAGAACTAAAGCAGCCTCTTCCAGCTTTGGTCTGTTAGCGGTGGTGCTGCCTGTGCCACCGGTTCATGCTGTTTGCTGAGTGTATAAGAACTGGTGCTTGAAAGAATGTGTATGTAACAAACAAATTTTAGGAGATGATAATTGCCCTCACCACACATGACACACGGAGAGTTTAAAATTTTAGTCTCCTGTTAAACTCTTCTATTGACCTCTAAATGGATTACACGTTCAACTAATGGCCAGCTGCCTGCAATTTCAAAAACACTGATGTAGATCATTAATGAGAACACTTACAGCTGAGAGATTTCTGAGTTTAAACTCCAAGATTCTTGCTATGAAGAATTAGTTTTGTCATTTTGAGCAAGTTACAATATCTCCAGTTTCGAAACTTTGGAACTGGACATCTTGAAATCACCTTCATTTTAAAGATGAAGAAACCATTAACCTAAAAACAAAACAAACCAAATACTCCTGTGTAAAACCTTCGTGTCCTTGAATGTGTTCTCCATCCAACAGTCCATCACACCCCTGCCCCTTCAGCAGCCTGGCTTTCGGATCTCAGACCCCATCTTGGATCTGGAAATCCCTCTCAAAGGTGCCTGACTCTTGACTCTTCTGTCCCTGTCCTTCAGGGACACCTTGATGTCCTTCAGGTAGAACCTTGGTGTCTACCTTGCCCCATGTCCATGACCTCGTGACTGGTTCATATGCCTCATCTACGAAGAAGCGGGGTCATCTATCCGCCTCTCCTTGGCCCAGGGTTTCCCACTCGGGCACACGTGATGGGCACTGCGGTGGTCTGCTCCCTGGACAGGGATCCTCCTTTTCCCTCCGGTCCAGGGCACCCATTCCAACCTCTGGCTGGTTTGCTGCTCCAGGACTGCCCAGGAGCCGCTAGTGTGGGGCAGCTGCAGGCCACCAGTGGGCACACTGAAGAGCAGAAGCAAGGCCACACACAGCGTCAGGGTCCCTTTGGCCTTCTCTAGCTTGAGCTCAATCTTGTCAGTCCCACCCTCTTATAAATTTTACTGAAAAGGGAGGTAACATCATCTAACAACATGTAATTTAAAAAAATACAAGACTAAAATATAAAGAATAAAGGGAAAGCAACATAATGAACCCATTTATTTTTTTTATTCTTTTTTAAAGATGTTATTGGGGGATGGGGGAGGGGAACAGCATTGGGGAATCAGGGAACAGACAAGTTGCTTTCCTTTTGTTCTTCAGTCTAGTTGTGGAGGACGTCGCTTCACTGGCCCATGTTGGTATTATTGCGCTCTTCCTGGGTGAGGCAGATCGGTCACCGGCCTCCGGACAGCCGCTCACGGTGGCTCTTGGAAGCTCACACCGGCTGCCAGCCGCTCACACTGGCTGCTGGCCACACATGGTAGCTTATGGCAGCCCACTGCAGCAGGGGCTGCAGCCTACACAATCACTGGTGACTCACGACAGCCCAGCTCCAGGTCAAGCTGTTGTTCAGCATCTTAGCTGTAAAGGGAGGGTCACTGACCCTCATGTGGGATCCGAACCAGGGCAACTGCTACTCAGAGCTGGTGTCCCAAGCCAGCTCTTAATCTCGGTGCCACTCGGCCAGCCCAACCCATGTATTTCAATAAGTAAAGGCCGGGCCACCACTGCCTAAAGTGATGATAATGGGATTAGAGACTTGGACTTGTGGGAGGATTGCTGAGTGGGACAGCTCTACAAGCACTGTGACAGGTGATGTGTTGAATGGGCCACTCAGACTCCTGCCACACAGCTACCGGAGATGAGACTTTTTGTTGTTTCCCAACAAAACAAAATACACTCTTCCCTCAGTTTAGTTGCATTCCTAGAAAATACAGTGTTGGTGTAATAAATATTTGTGCAAAATAACGTTAGGTTCTAGGCTCAAATGATTATAAAGATTTTCCACCTCTGTGAATGTTGATGAGACACTGGAAGCCATATGAAATATGACAAGTCTATGGCTGTTTGGCGTCTGCATCCAAAGAGTGCCCCCCTATTATTGTGATGACAAAAACATCTAAATTTTCAGTGTCCCCTAGGGGTTGGCATCGCTTTGTTAAGAACGAGCTCCAGCATATTTACCCCATGCATTCTGTCCCAGGTTGAAAGGTTCCAGATGCCTCAGCTTTTGGCTTCCAAGCAACCATGGGCACTTAGAGCAACTGTCATCGCCTGACCACTCCAGGCAGGTCCACCAGCCTGAGATCTGTGCCCTTCCCTACTTTGGTTCCTGAAAGGTTAAAGGTTAGTGGCACAGTTCCAGCAGTGGTCCACTCCGCTGTACAGATCAAACTGCATGAAAGATGCCATTTCTCATGTCTTCTCTGATGGGAAATATAGAGGGCTAAGAGGTCTCCCTCATCTGTAGTTCGTGAACCCCCACTGATAAAGTGGGTGCCTTGGGTTGGGGGAGGGAGGTGATGTCAGAAGCTACAGGGAGCAGGCTTCTGGTTTTGCAAATTTAGCCCCAAAGCTGCATGACACCTGACTGGAGCCCCAGGTGGAGAATGTTTGGGACTTGCCACCCCTGTGGCAGAGTCCTGACTGGCACAGCAACATGGGTACTGACAAGGGATCCCAATGCAAGTGTACTGCAGAGACCAGCAGTGTTTCATCTCATACCTCTAGTGGTAATGAATTATAGTGCACACAGTGGATTTAAGTTAGCTTATATTATGTACATGCCCTACTATATTACTATATCGTGCACCTAATACATTTACATAAAAATAGAAACATGAAATACAACAGTTTAAATGCCTTGGCAATTATGATGACATCATGGTATCATTAGCTAACATCTCAAGCCACATCCAGTGAGGTTTATCACTGAGAATTTGTCAATTAACATTTCAAACCATGGTAATTAATTTGGCATTATTTTATGGATGACTTCTTATCAGATCTGATTAAAGGATTTACCTCCTAATGGAACTTAAGAAAACCTAGTAGGAGGAGAAGGGATTGGCTCTGCCATTATCTTGTCATTTGCTTGTACCTTGAATATTATTTCCAGTTAGTGATTTATTTGAAGGAATCTTTTTTTAACCCATTTGTTAATGTTTTGGGGGTTAGTTTAAAACTAGTTAAAAAGTCATGACTTCCCTTAATAGTTTCCACCCAGTGCAGTACCTCTTGATTGGC